GTCTGAATAGTTAGGCCATGAAGTGCTGTGCTGTTGATTCTATGAGTAAAGAAGATGAGACAGTAATTTAAAAAGTTTTATCCAGATATGCGATAATGGCTATTTTATATAAATGAAAAAATATATATATGTAATTTGAAAGCCTGCAATTACAAAGTCTATGAAGTGCTGTTTTTATCATGAAGAATTCTTAATTTTCTTCCAAAATACCTTGAGCTATGCATCATGGTTTCCAAAATTAGAGAATTGTGTAGTGAAGAGACAAGATGTACTTGCTTTATGTATCGCTTAAGAATCTTGGTTTAAAAATTTACTGTGTAAGACTTTCAATGTTTTATTCTGATTGCTTTATAATATAAATAGCTTTTGTACCGAATGAGAGCAGTTGAATTAGTTCATCCTTTTGCTTCTTATTATACAAAGCTCTGACTTTTTTACATGTTTATGGAACCACTGACATTTTGAAAAATTTAAGAGGTATATTTCAAGTACAGTGGTTTGCTTTTACCAACCACATCATACACTTGAAGTAGCAGTGTGCTTGGGTAACAATAATCATGCTCTCTGAGAGCTGGAGTTGTCCAGACCTGTAGATAAGTGATAAGACAGCATCCTATGTTCCAGATGTTGAGATTTTCTTATAATTTCTGTGTTTTATTTGCCTCCAGGTTGCATTGCTCTAGGTATCTTGCTGTTTTTATTTTTTTGTTTTTGTTTCTTTTCACCTTCTCTGGTGTCTTATGCTTGCAAAATATACCCTCCAAACTCCAGAGCATGTTTCAGATCTATGGTCAGCAGCTCCCCCAGGCCTTTTCTGATAGCTCACCTCTGAGCTATCATGTCTGCTATGTGGAAGTTATTTTTAACAGCAGAAACTGTTAAAGCAGCCCACTTACTATCAGTGATTGATAAATAGCTGTGATGAACTTGGGAAATGAAAAGAATGCTACACAGGCTGCAAGCAAAGATAAACAGTGGCATGAAACAGCATTTTCAAAAGAAAGTCTTGAAATAAGACTAACTTCTGATTTTCTCCTATAACTGAGGAGTTCAGACCCCTCAACATAGTGACATACAATGATTATATTTTTTCTTTTTTGATTATCTCCCTACAATTCTGTGCCAAATTAGGCTTTTGAATCACTGTAAAATTTATAATAATGTTTCTGTTATTCTTTTAAATTCAGCTAATTTGAGTTGGCATATGTTATCTTCCATCTTCCAGAATACTTGAAACCAGCCTCTTTGAAAAATAGATATTTAGTAACAGTCATTCAGGAAACCAGATGCCAAGCATGAAAACACATGTATTATTTAGAAACGTATGATTTATTCATGTATTTCCCAGGACAACACCTTATTTTCCATTGTCTTTCACTTACTGTTAATATTTACCTTTTCTATGAACTATACATGTCCAAGTTTTCAGGAATGATAAAAGTTTGTACCATTCACTTACACCATTCACTTCACATACACTGTTCCCATTTTGCTGTTGTTTTTAGATATAATCTCTGTTTTGTTTCCTACAAAATTTTGTGTTTAAATATGGTTTGCATACGCAGTGTCTAGAAAGTTTTAAGACTAGGTTTCTCTTTACTGATGAATTCAGAATGAAGCTTAGAATCAGATGAAACTTCAGTGGCAACTATTTTCCTTACTCAAATAAATACTTTTGCACTAAAGTAATGAAATTCGTTCCTGTACAAAGGGAAATGTTAAAGCAAAAAAAAAATAGAAAATCTATAAACAGCTTCCTTTTTAAAATCAGACCATTGATAGTATCTATTGGGCCTCAGAAATCTTGGGAGGAGCATCACTAAGAAAAAGAACTTAATGGGTTAAGATGTAATTAAAAGCCTCAGTACTCTTTGTACATGGCAGGAGACCATGCTGAACAGTTACTATGAGAAATGCTGTTATCTCTTGGTGAATAAAGAGCAAGCCATTCTATTCTTGGGATTTAGGTACTTTAGCTTCTAGTACAATATTTATAATTGTACCACTTTGTATAATTTTAGCACAAATTGAAGGGAATTTCAACAGAGGAACTAGATTGGCTTATTTTGCAAAGTGCAGGAGTTTGAGAAAGTGAAGACTCAGAAACTGAAGCTGCTCCCTGTGAACTTTTATTATTATTATTTTTAAGCTTGTTGATTTAGATGGCATGGGGAAGTGAAATCACTTCTGTTATAATTTTTATACAGTCCATAATTCAAATAAAGTTTTGAATGTGGAGGGCTGTGAGAAAAGTTTGAACTTCTCCATTCAAAAATGTTTGGCATGTTTGGCATTTTCTACGTTAGAATACCTCCTGTTTTAATAAGAAGAGGAAAGAAAGGATTATTCTGTTACTCCAAAATATTTTTGAACTTCAGTAGAAAATAGACAAATATGTTAATGGTGAAACATTATTTCCTTGAAGCATGACAAAAAAATGCACTATTTAATTGTTTACTTTGTGCTAATTAGATTAGAGTTCTAGTAAAACAAAGTTCTAAGCTAATTAGATTAGATTAGAGTTCTAGTAAAACAAAGCCAAATTATGTAATTCAGAACGATCTTCATACTTCGGTAAAATCTACAGTATGGTGAAGTCAGTGAACCCTCAAAAATCCATCCTTTTTTTCAGTGGATCCTGATGTCCTGGCATGGTTCCACTCATCAGTCTTTAGGGTCTTACTGATGCTGTGACAAGAGAAAAGAAGGCATAGGAACTTCTTTGCATAATTTTTGCTGAACTGTAGCTTCATATACTTTCTTTCTATTCAAAATGATAGGACAAGGGGGAATGGCTTTACACTAAAAGAGGACAGATTTGGATTAGGTTTTAGGAAGAAATTTTTTAGTCAGAGGACAGTAAGGCCATGGCCCAGGCTGCCCAAAGAGGTTGTAGATGCCCATCTCTGGAGGCATTCAAGAACAGGTTGGGTGGGATCCTGGGCAACATGATCTGGTGGATGGCAGGGAGGTTGGAGCTAGATGGTTTTTAAGGTCCCCTCCAGCCTAAGCCATTCTATGTTTCTATGAAAGGACAGGAGTAAAAGTTATACCTTTGGCTAGACTGGTTTGAATCACTGCTGAAGTCTAACTGGAACCAAAACAAGTAAAGGCGAGCATTAGTGCCTATGCACTCAAAGACATGTTCCATGTAGATTTACCCTGTGCCAGGTAGCTGCTCCAGCCTGAAGGACTGAGTCAAACCCATGGACACAACATGGGCTGCCTGTTGTTTGATTCTGGGCAGTGAGCATTGCTGACATCACTTATGGTTATGAATGTTATACACAGATGGAAAATTCTGTCTTATTTCTGAAAGTTTTTCTATAAATTACTCCCATTTAAGCTGTGTAGCTTCCAGCCTGCAATGTTCTGTGGCTTGAGATTGCTGCCATGCTGCTGCTTTCTTGATTGTTCTCATGGTTATGCATTGACAGCCAAAATATAACCATCATGTCTACTGGGTAGCCAAATACCTGGCTGTCTGAATAGTCAGTGTCACCCTATTAGCCCACTATTACAAACCTTGTTCAGCTATTGCTGTTTCTGGCCATTGTATAGTCTCCCAGATATGAAAAAAATGTATAGCCTGTTTTTCTGTGGTTGCATGCGTGTAGCATTGCCAGCCTTAAGGGATAAAAGTGCTTTAAATTAAAACTTGGAAGATGAGGACAACAGATCCAGATAAAGAGATTCCTTTCTCTTTTCATATTCTTATGGAATAAGGAAACTGTGCCCTTAAAATTAACAGCATCTTCTCAGTCAGGACAATACGTTCAGAAATGTGTTAATAACATATAGAAAGAGTGGAGGGAAAGGTGGAGGGAGGGGAATAAAATGCTTTCAACACGACTTTGTTTACACTTTAACCCCTATTTTTCATTGTTGTTTGAAAGTGATCCTCCTTGGACAGATTTCTGAAACAGGCTCTGAATACTTATTCAAATGTCCTTACAAATGTTTGGACAAAGTTCCTTCTGGAGCTGCCATCCTGCATTTATTTTCCTCTGCTGTGGAATTCACTCCATGGAGACCTTTCTCCCTGCTTTGCAAGAAAGAGGTCATTTAACCACAACTAGGCTGCTCTGGCGCTTTAGAAAATCACTACAAAATCTTACTTCATTTAACACCAATGTATTAGGTCTGTGTAAATTGGAGAGCGGGGGAAAAGGAGAAGGGTAATATCTTTGGGTAGCTTTCTTTCTACACTTTTCATTCTGTTTAGCACTCTCATCTCTTCAGACTGGCCATCTCTGAAGCTAGCAATTTTGACAAACTGTTTTATGCTTTACGTAAGGTGTTTACACAGCAGTTTATAAAACAGCTAATTTTATAGTGCATCAGAAAGGAAGCATCAGCATTTATTTTGCCTTGCTTCCTTACAGCATTTTGGGAAGGATTGTCTTTTTCAGTTAAAAAGCACTCTTCAAAGTAAAAATTCAGTATGCTTAGCCCTATAGGGCAGACTAGATACACTTTCAAATTAGAGGCTTTCATTAGACAATTTACCACTTTAGTCTAATTAAATAGCATTTTCTAAATATATAACCGAACACTCTTGAATTAATGATGATGACTTATTTCAGTTTTCATTCATAGATTAAAACTTCAGTGAATTTTTGCCTAAAAGTTTTGGGACTTCATTAGTGATCACTGCTATAAAATGAATATGTTTTTTCAAGTCAGTAGATTAATGAATGCATTTGAACATGTCAAATACCTGGAGAGTTTTAAAATCCAGCTTAATAATTTGCAGAATTAAATCCTGCAGATTTTTATTGCACAATGAATCTTTGAGCAGTTATATTTTCACTGTTACTTTTTCTCTGACTTCTAATAAAAGCTGATATTTAATTCTCTTATTCCAAAGAAACTAAGCATTTATTGAACAGAATTTATGTATGTCGAAAACATATGCATGGAGTTAATTTATGATTTAAATAATTTAGAAGGGAAAAATTGTTAGCTTGTGTATATGAGAAGTATTCATTTATTTGCAGAGGTCTTTTTATTACTATCCATGACCGGGGGCACATTGCTGCAATGCTGAAGTCCTGGCCAGAGAATGTCATCAAGGTAAGTTTGGTTTTGTTTGCTTGACAAAGCTGATACTGTCAGAGAACATTTACTGCACTGTTTAATTTCTTTCAGAGTGCTATTTTATTTTAGCCAATTCTTTATAATTGAGATTTAGAAGCAGTACATATGGTGCACAACTGTTTTTAAAAAATGTATTAGTAATTGAATGTATGGAATTTTGAAATATATGTAGTCTTTGTATCATAAACATCCCAGCAAATTAGAAAAGAAAAAACATGTTGTATTTATGAGAGAAGTGGTGGCTGGCAACAGGAACTGTAAAATTTTTAACACCTTCTTCTAGGCTTCAGGGTCAATTGCTAGATGTGATCATATTTAATCTGTATTGCATTCTGAATCTGTTTCACAATGTTTCTGAGGAGACTTTTGCATGGATTTGGCAATCTGATGCTAAGGAATGTAGGTGTTTCATTTGCTCTCTGAGAATTTTCCATGTCTTTACTACAGTAGTTGCACTTCACTGTTCTTGCTACAAGAACATTTTTATGGTGCTATCTACTTCATTGTGATTGAAATGTTAACACAAGAATTTGACAGTTGTACTGTAGCTACACCAGTGGCTTTTTATTTATTTTTACATTTTTACTTTATATGAAGCTGTTTAATATTTTGTCTCTATCTTTATATTTGTACTCATGAATACGTGGAGTGTATTTCTGTAATCTAATATGAAAAATCTTCCTTATTAGTGCATATAACTTTGTGGGTTTTACTGAGTTTCTCTATTTCTATCAGTGGAAACACAATCTCATATGTATAAATATGATAGAGCATGTTATTTGCTCAAGAGAAAAGCAAATATACATTCAAAGGATAAGAACTAGGTGACTGTAGACAGCCCTGTGAAAAGCCAGCAGGAGTGGCAGGCTCTAGTTCTCCTGGAAACAGTGATGACAAAACCCAGGAGTCTGGGGATCTTCTTTTTGTGGATAACTTCACTTCCTACTCTGTTTTGATGTTGTTGACAGAAAAATGTTATAGGGAACAATGCCAGTTTCCTTGTAATATAATATGAAATACGTTTCTAGGGTATTCTGAAAAGTTTTACACGCAAGTCCCATTTATGATGAAGTAAAAATCTAGAATAGTGCACCAAAAGCACAGTGATATACAATAAACCATTTCACAAATACAAATAAGCAGAGGAAAAGAATCTGGGGGTGTTAGCTGGCAACTGGCTGAATACAAGCCATTAGTGTGCCTAGATGGCTAAGAAGGCCGGTTGCATCCTGGCTGTATCAGAAATAGCATTAGCAGCAGAAGCAGGGAGGTGATCATCTGTACTTGGCACTGATGAGGCCGCACCTCAAGTACTGTGATCAATTTGGGGCTCCTCACTACAGGAGGGTGTCCAAAGAGGCACAACAAAGCTGTGAAGGGTCTGGAGCACAAGTCTCAACAGGGAGTATCTGAGGGAACTGGAATTGTTGAGTCTGGAGAAGAGAAGGCTCAGGGGAGACCTTATCACTCTCTACAGCTACCTGAAAGGAGGTCATAGCAAGGTGAGGATCTGCCTCTTCTCCCAGGTAACTAGTGATAGGATGAGAGGTAATGGCCTTAAGTTGTGCTGTTTGAGATTCAGATTGGATATTAGGAAAAATTTCTTCTCCAAAGGAGTGGTGAAGCAGGGCACAGGCTGACCAGGGAGGTGGTTGAATCACCATCCCTGTAGTTGTTCAAGAAATGTGTAGATGTGGCACTGAGGGGCAGGGTGGTGATGGGTTGACAGTTGGACTTGGTGATCTCAGTGATCTTTTCTAACCTTAACGATCCCATGCACCTATGATTTCATGACTTTCGTTTTGTTGTTGTTTTATTTGTATCAGTTGTACCTGTTTTTAAATGGAAATTTGAAGAACACCAATATGATTACAAAATAATTTGTACATACAAAAATGATCTAAAAAAGAACTGATTTTTAAAGTGCTTTTCTTTCTTCCTCCAGGCTATTGTAGTGACAGATGGAGAACGTATTCTTGGTCTTGGAGACCTTGGCTGTTATGGAATGGGAATCCCAGTTGGTAAACTGGCACTTTATACAGCATGTGGAGGAGTGAAACCTTTTGAGTGCCTACCTGTGATGTTGGATGTGGGAACAGATAATGAGGTAAGTACTTTTCTGAGGTGTAGTGTTACCAGTTTTAAGGAAACTGTATAAAACTTGAACCATAAAAAGTTGTCTTTCTCTATTATGATATGGTTTACAATTAAGTGGAAACTAAAAAGACATACGGAAAAAGTCTCATCCTAATGCACAGTATATATTGTTTGATAAGGCTTGAGTATGTAAGGAAGATATTGTCTGTAAAAATGTACTGTGCACTCTGTGTCAGAAAGTTGTACAGCAAATTACATCTCAAGAAGGCGGGGATATTAGAGTTAAAACTATGATAAAAAGCAGCATTCTTGCTCTACTTTTGCTGCAGAATTCCTCTGTAATGATTTCAAATGTGAGTTCATTCTGGCAGAACAGCTTGAAGCTACAGCCTTGTGTGTGTTCTGAGTGCACTTCTGTGTACTTCAGTTGTACATTAACTTCAGCTATAGAAATCTCTGTAATGCTGTGAGTTTTCCCAAAATGATGTCCTAATGCTTCAAAAACCTTGCCTTCCTTGACTTGGCTTCCCATTTGTATGAAGTAGAAAGATTTAAAGGCAGCTAGTTATAGAAAATTGGTTTTGTTATTTCCAGAGTGCCTGGGATTACTAATTACTTGGCCTCTCTTGTTCCCATTTTTTAGCTGAAAGAATATTTGAATTTGGTGTCTCTTAATGATATCAAATATCATCAGCAATATCATTATGCCTTAGAAGAAGCTACACTATGACTGATGCAAGCATTAAACTTTGTGGCTGATAAACGTATCAGAGATTTATGTGTATTGAAGATAAATAAAGCATTCTTGTACCGGTGAATTTAGCAGAGATTTCTAGATTGCTGGGCTGGGTGTGTGCAACTTCAGCTCACCTCTGCCCCTGCCACGCCGGGATAGTTTAGAAAGTGTACATCATGAAAGCAATACTAAAATTAGGAATAGTCTGCTATTCTCTTTCTCTGTTTCCCTAAAATCTTCTCCTGAAAGTGAACAGGTTAACTTGTAAAGTGCATCTGATCACCGCAGGGCACAGCCATATCAAGTCACAAAAAAATCTTATTAGCTATAAAATATTTTTTTTCCTGGTTTCAGTAGGTGGGACAGTCATTTAATCTATGATTAAGTGTTTCTAAGCAGCAAATGTCATCCGCTGCTTCTGATACTGCAATAGTCTTCCCATTTTTCTTTTATGGCAAACTTCATTATCACTTTTAATTTTTCATGGGATGTTATTGTCTTGACATGTATTAAACACATGTAGGTCATGCCAAAAGTATTGCCTCCTATTTATTTCCAAGGGCACTACAACAGATACAAAGAGTACAGTCGCACTACTTGTTAGAGCAAAGTATCAGCTACAAAACACCATTTTCAACACAGTCACCAACATTAGCTATGCATTTTCACCGGCGATGAACGTGAGACTGCATGCTGTGCTCATAAAAATCTGCCCAACTGGAAGGGACCACTGTCACTTTGACTGCTGCAGAAACATGTCATCAACTGTCTAACTGTGCTCACATCCACTGTTTGGTCTCCATAAATGGTTAGCAAGTGTTGACAAATAGCAGTGGGTGCCATTTTCTTTTCATATGGAGGAATTCAGTGACACACCTTTGCTTCATGTGCAATGTCAGACATCGTTTTGTCAGACTGCCCCTCTGCTGCCACTTGTCACACAGCAACAGCATGTAGTGAAATCTTGACGGGAAGGTTCAACCTCTACTGCCATACCACCAACATCCACTTCTGATATTGTGGACCAAAACTAAAAAAACAGGAGATATTACTTTCAGAGCAACCTCACTACAAGTGTGTGTGTATGTATATGTAACTCTACAAGTACCAAAAAAAAGTGTACATGTACTAGTAGTTCAACTTTTATAATGCTCTTCTTGTGGCTAAACAATGAGGTCAAGGTTTCTAAAAGGGTGGTCAACCTTAAGTGTTACAAGATGCAAACAAATTCCATGAGCTGGTGTGTATTGATGTTCTGGCACTCCTATTAGGAGGACTGCCCAGTCATCTCAAAGCCTCAATTCAATTTACTGCTGAAAGAGGCCTTAAACTAATCTTCAGTGAATGGATGGCTGAATAAAGAGGTTTTGTATTTGATTGTTGTTTTTTTCCTCACAGTTATAGTGGGTGCAAGAATTAATATTAGCCTACAATTCAGCACTGTTCATGCTCATCTGAGTTTTTGCAATGGAGAGGAGAAGTCAACAGGGTGTGAGAAATTAAGTTTCTGAGTCATGGTTGGGTTACCAACTAAAGGCTCTTCTGAGGTTGTGCTAGACTGCACTTCAAAGAGTAGATGGATGGTTGTTTTTTTTCCCATTGGGACTGCTCAGAGTATTAAGCATTTACCTTTGAGCTGTAACTGGGAATGAGATCCCAGAATTTGCCACTTAACTGAAGAGACTGCATGGGTCTGATTCTATTCATTGTATATTTGGAGCTTGCATCTTGTCTTTTGATACTTCAGTCATGTCAGGAGTCCAGGGACACCAGCTCCCTTAGTTTCTTCCCTCTCACCCCCCTTCTCTGTCCCATAGCTCCTGTTCTCTCCTTAATGCTGGTGTTTGTCTGGCAAGGTGTTGAGCCACTTCAGGGCTATGCTAATTGTATTTGTCAAGCTGCTATGGAATGGCACTTATGTTACTTACCTTAAAATCTAAACCTCTCTGACAAATAGCAGTGTTTTTATGCTGTATTTTCTTACTCAAGTCAGAATTTTCCATTATCAGATGCAATGGAAATCAGCCTAATAACTTGGGCATATATAAATAATAATTATGCTGAACATGTTTTTCAAAATGTGCAGAAGTTTTCCATTTAGATTAGTTTCTTCTCCCTTTCTGTGGGGGCCTCAGTGCTTTAAAATGTTTAAAAATATGTATTTTTGGCAACTTTAAACCTGTTGTGCAGAACCTGCAAATTCTCCAGAAAGATTAAATCTTACTTTAAAGCAGATTGCAAGAAAAACTTACAAATTTTCATCCTGTATTGTTTTGCTTTGTTTTTTACATACAGGACACAAAATAGTACATAGGAACTCAGTCCATTCTAATGATTATTGAATGTTTCATTACTGCTAGTTTTAGCAGAGGCATTTTTAGCTTCGGTGTTATCCTGCTACTCATAAAACGAGGGAATGAAAAGAAAATGCAGCATTTTTATACAGTTGTTCAGTTAGTAAGACAAATGGAAAATTCTTCCTTACAAGTAAAAAATTATCTAGTTGAAAGACTTGCATGACTGAAATAGTAAATTTCTCTGTGTAATCAACACAGGACTGAGAGTCTAAGAGGAGTGGTGTTGACTACTGCCAAAACTAGTATGCATAGTTTTAAGTCATTGACAAATTGGAGGCAAGCAATCACTCTTAGAACACTTGAATACAGATATTTTAATACATTATATACTGTTAATTATTTACCATGAAAATTTCAGTTCAAATTGTGTCTTATTTAGTAACTGTATTTGTAGGAGGTGAAAATGATGTTTCTCAGTTGGGATTTCAATCCACGTTAAGCATACTTGTATATCAGTCACTGTACTGATATCAGAGTGTTGTTAGGAATGCTGAGGTCATGTGGTTTCTGGATTCTGGGCATTCGTCAAACATCAGAGAGGCATACATTAATTGCCTTCTAATGGTTAAAGGATCTGCTTGCAGAAGAATGATGAATAGGTGTCACAGTACAGCAACTACAACTTAGTGGAGACTTCCCTGAAATATTTTCTCTGCTGGAAGTGGGATGTTTTATGGGGGAAGGAAATAATCAAGCAGAATCAATGCAAAACATTTAGACATTAGAAATACAAATGATGTTTATTTACTACTTAAAACTCCTAGTAAACTCAAAAAATAAATAATAAACAGTAGGCATGTCTGTTGGTAAAAAAAAACCACGCTCACAAGATGGATTCTGTACTGGGAATGGCCAGTTGTGGAAGCTGTGGGAGGGTTCATTGTATGTTAGCATTTAAACATAAGCCATTTACCATATCTTTCAATTTAGTAAGAAAACATTCAGTTTTTTTTTTTAAATTGTACTTTCCCATAGAACAGAGAGGTCAAGACATGTGGTGTTAACCTCTTGTGTCCTGGAGCCATCTCAGGATTGCTCAGCAGTCTCAGTAGTGTCAGGCTGACAGCTGGATTTGATAACCTTGAAGGCCTTTTCAAACCTGGATGATTCTGGCTGCATCCAGGATGGTTTTAAAGAAGCTGGACAAAGAAACTTTGTTTTGCTCTGGATAGGCATGGTTAGATAGAAGACTGGTCGGATATATATATGCCATTATTGGCATCTAACTTCGTACAGATGAACCATGACTGTCAGTACGCTTTTTGCAAATGTGTATCTGATGCTGTTCCTTTATTCATACAACTGACAAACACAGTCATGTAAGTACTGAACAGTGCACAAAAGAGAGAAATGTGCAAGGCAGTTGCTAGAGCAGCTCCTGCTCCTTCATCTGCCACACCACAGGGACTACAAGAAAACGGGTTGTTATTTGAAGCTATTTCTCTCATGCATACATTGGAATATTTTTTCCTTAACTTACTGCAAGTATTTAAATGCAGGAATGTGACAGCTCTCACAGTTGCCCTAAATAGGTCAATAAGCATTACTGGGCTGGTAGTTCAGATATTTCTGGAGGAATGACAGGCATCCATGGCGGAAGACTGAATCCAGAAAAGCTAAGGTGCAAATTCAAGCTCAGTTATTCAACTTGGTGTTGTAGTTAGCTTTCTGAATTTCCCCAAATTACTTCCACATGTCATAAGAGCTTGTACCAATCTTCAACTTTTACATTCTTCCAAAATACCATGCTATGAATGTGAATAAGGAAGCTGCTGATAAAACATAGAGACAAACCTGCTTCTATTATTTCTGTTCCAGTCAAAATAGAAACTTGGATAGAAGGAAGCTCACTGCAGCAGAAAAGTGCAGTTTCTAATTGTCAGGTTCGGCCTGCTTCCTGTGACAAGTGGGTGAAGG